TGGTAGAGGTTTAAGAAGTAAAGCTTATTTAAGCCTGCCGCCTTTTGCAGGCTGTGGTAAGTGAATTATGTGAAATCCTGAGCAACGAGGGTTCACGCACAGTGAACCTTTCCCACTGGCTCCCTCCACAGATCCTCACAGCCTCTCTGGGGGTTGGCCGTGCGGCTGCCTGGCTGTAAATCCCAACTCTGGCCGTCGCTGAGTCGTGTTCGTCCCGGCTTTAATCCGTCCAGCGGCGTGCGGCGGTGGGATTTGGAGGACAGTTTGGCTTTAGCTTCCATGTAAGCAGAGAATGAGGTTAAAGCTGGGGACAGCTGGACCGTCATTCACTTTCAGCCTCAAACAAAATGCCAACTGCAGCACTGACAACCACAGAAAACCAGCATTGATAGAGCTGCTGTTCTGGTGGTGCTACCATAAAAACACAAGTTTAACATGTAATGTTAGCAAAATTACTAAATGGATTTACTGACTTGTTTTTTTGGATAATTTGGATAATGGTATAATTCCCTGTAATTAAATGGAATTATAATTTAATTAAGTTTAAATTACAATTATATTTACCTACAAATACTTAAAGGTTGGTTCACTAGAATAAGGGGGTAGGGAGTCACGTTTTTACAGGAAACAAAGAAATATTTATACTCTAAATACATTTATGTAGTGTGTAACTTCAGATATTTTACAGGAAAGCAGACAGAAATTATTCTGTACATAATTTTAACTGCAGTGTAAATAAATTAAAGTCGGTAATTTCATGGTAATTTTGCAGAAAAACAATGTTTCTCCATCTCACCTCATAAGTCTGCTGTAGCTTTTGGTCAGGGGCCATATCATGCACTAGACTAATGTTTGTTTATTTATTTTAACTTTAACCAAACTTCATTAACTAAATTATCAATAAACTGTTTCAAATCACTGCTAAACAATTACTAAAAAGTGAGGGAAATTAAATAATAGAACATCGTGTACATAAACATAATGATATGACATGAAAATATAGAGATGTAAAAGTGCAAGAACACTCAGTAATACGGACCTCGCTCCTCCTATTGTTTGTTTTTCCACAAAATTCCTATTAAATTGTGCACTACCTAAAGGTACGCATTGCTTTACTTAGTGTAGTGTTTATCTATATCCATACTATGAAGTAATAGCCTTAAATAACATTAAGCATTAAATACATTTAATTTGATAATAATTCTTTCTTTGATTCCTGTAAAAATCAGACTTGTTAGCCCCTCATTCTAGTGCACCTACCTTTAAGTATTTGTAGGTAAATGTAATTACATTGTAATTCAAAATAAAACACCTTTATAATTATAAATGAAATGCAGGGGAGTCACATGTCGTATTGTAAAGTTTTAACAGTTTATGTGTCAAAGCTATTTTGATAGAATGATACAAGGCTGAAAAACGGGGCCTCAGCAAAGGCTCATCAACACAACACAAAACACTATTACTGGCCTTCTTCCTTCCCTGGATTACACTTCTAAACACAGGGA